CGTTCAACATGGGGAAGAAAAATTGGGTTGGATTAGTTATAGATTGTGCTAGATGGAAAGTGTTGGTTCTCGACAGCAACGTCTCCCACTGCAGTGAAACTTACGTCATATCAGAGCTAAACCCACTATGCGAAATGTTTCTGTATCTTCTGAAACAGGGCTTACATAATTCAGGAGGCGGAAACATGGATAGGATGGCAGTTGAGCGGGTGCAAGGGCTTACACAAAACATACATATCAATGATATTGGTATGATGGCCGTGGTGGAAATGGGAACACATGCGGTGCACGGCATTGAAGCATGCTGGGGCATTAGTCCAGATGTTGTTGCTGAAGAGGCAAGGGCCGCAGCTGTAACAGCTTATGAGTTGAGTGGACTGGAGTAGGTGTTCGTGAAAATGGGTAGTGAGATAGCCAATTTTTATGTTCATGTATTATCGGCTAAAATTTCGAGATTCCGGTTTAGTCTTTCTCTTATGTATTAAAAGGATAATGTTTTTCATTCGAACTAGAACAATTTATTTGAAAAATTGGTATTTGTGATTTTAGATTTGGAAAGTACTGTTGTGATTTTCTTCCTCTAATAGGCATTTTTTAGAAATTGCTATCCTTAAAGTTATCTATCAATAATTGAGCTGGGACGTCATAACTTCATAGGTTGTTGTACAGCATTGTGGACAACCCTGGTTTCTTTAAGAGGACTGACGAACTCCATAGGTAGAAGTGTCCAATTTACTGGTAATTTTTATAAATAACCAACAAGAAACACCAACAACCGGTAAATATTGCTTCTGATATTGGTATCTTTAATATATCCGGCTAAAACGTTTTGTTAATAGTTTACTATTTTAATACCTTAGCCAATGGTAAGCTTTCGCTTTATAAACGTTATATATTGAAAAAAGGTTTCAATACGTGTTAGCCATTATTATGAAGAGAACATTTTTTGGAAACACTGTGTTAATAGATAGAGGTGAACAGAACATATTTAAAAAACACTTGTGTAATACAATTGCTTGGCATAAACAAAAAAGAAATTGAAAATGGTTAACGTAGTACGGGGAAAGCGGTTTCTAAATTTTCCTTACACATTAGATGTTTACTCACTGAAATAGTAAATCGGATATTTAACCAGATAGCTTATGATGCAGATAACAATATTATAACCGGGATTTCCCTAGTTCAATATCCGGCTATATAAGCGTGCTTCATAATTAACATATCATCATATTAAAGGAGAACAATCCGAAACATACATGAAGTTGGCCTGTTATTTGTCAGAATACACTCGGGAAATAGATTACATTCCTGCCTCAGACCTAGCTGGATATTAAACAACATCACTTAATATTTCGCTGCCCAGTAACAGCACAATCCACTCCTACCATACACCTTCATCATCCGAGTCACCCAAACTGCCAACAATATCAAGTGGTTTTCATATCGAAGTCTTGCAAGTGGCCCTGTTATGACCACTTTGCTTGCAACGACTACAGATGTGGAGCTTACGCGCTGGTTTCATCTGCATTGTGTATACATAGAAATGAAACAGATAAACGCATGATTGTGTGGTACACAAAAATTTACATAATGATATACTTACAGTAAATTCCCCTCTTGAAAGGAAACAATTTTTTTTCGGCCTTCCTGGTGGGCGTCTGCATGCCGGAGGGACAACATGAAGATGAGTAGCTGCAAGGTTATCGGAAAGCAAGTCTACGTCCACGCACTCCGTGACAGGAAATATTTCCTTTTCATATGCAACTGCGAGACTTGAGATACTATATTCTTCGGAAACAAGCGATTCAACACTGATTTTAGCCACAACGGACACCGCGACAGCATGTGGACAAGGTATCGTTAAGCATTGAAATTGATAACAACTGCAAGTCCTTGCAGATAAGTTAACAAGGAATGCCAAACCCCCCTTGTCCACAACTTGGTATTGTGACTGGTTAATCATTTCAACACCAAATCCTCCAATGAGATCAAAGTTACATGCAAGTACATCCATAACACGTGGGGAAAGCTTGTTAGAAGAGTTGATGGCCATATCACGACGCACTGCAAACCAACTCATCAGCTTGCCCTTAATAAATTCAACTAGAGGTAAGATCGGAAACGCCCTAGCTTCGCAAAGCGCAGAGTTCCAAGACTCAGCCACATTACTGGTCATCATATTGTACCTCTCACCGAGAAAATGTGATCGTGCCCAATGTTCAAAGCCAATCTCAATAAGGTATTCAGCACAAGAAGGGTTGACAGACTTAATCTCGTTGAATACTTTGTAGAACTCTGAAAGCATGAAAGCTCGGGCTGCCTTACCCACCATATACCCAAGGTGCTTGTCCTTGAAGTAGGTTTTGATGTTCCTCTTAAGATGGAGTACACATGCGCAGTGCCTAGCAGAAGGGTAGACCTACATAGAAGAAGAAAAGAAATTAGAAATGAAAATCATCTGTACGAAATGAATATTGAGTATAAGGTGTGAGAAGGAGTGAGTGCACAATAGATGAGTAAAAAAAAAAACAAAATTAAGGTATGTTTTTTGGACCCTGCAAATGTGAAATAGATATAAAGAGTTAACAAACCTTTTCAATGCCAACATATATAGAAGCATGTCTATCTGAGACGAAGACAATATCCACTCACATGCCTTGTCATTCTCACTGTCAACAATAGCTACAGCCAAAGGAAAGACTTGATAGTTTCCATCTTGAGCTGATGAAGTGAGCATACATCCAGCATACTTACCCCTCAAATGAGCACCATCTACAACTACAACCTTTCTCATGACCGAGAAGCCGGTAATAGAGGCACCCATAGCGAAAAACATATACTTGAATCTGTGGCCTACACCTTCCACGTAATCAGTTTCAAGTTGAGTCAAAGTTCCAGGGTTTGCTTGCACAAGTCTTGCCAAATAGTTGGGTAAAAGGTTATAGGAAGCTCCAGATGTTCCTTTAGTATAATCTAGAGCCACCTTTCTAGATCTCCATGCCTTCCAATAAGAAATTCTGACATTGTGATCACCCTGCATTACCTGCATAATCTCATGTGGCTTAGGGCCACCTCCTGATCCTGAAAACCTAGACTTCATCATTTCACCAATGACAGAATGAGTGGCTTGAGTTTGATATCTTACATAAGAAGGGGGAGGGGAGTATATGAATATTCGTAAGATGAGTAGGTTGGTAAATGTAGGATTTACTAATACCAAATAATGAGCCATGCAAAACCGGATAATTGAATGTGTATCTTGGATAACTCTCATCTAGTATTGGGAAATTATGTAATAAGAGCGGATAATTTCTTATTTTTATTGGAACAAGTGTAAAATGAAACCGGATATTAATAAGGAAGGGTATGAGGGATTACCAGAATTGAAACCTTGTTAATAAAATTTTAAATTGTCATATATAGTATTTTGATTGGGAAAAGGAGTAAAAAGGTGTACACATTGAAAAAGTTATATTTTGTTTCATGTTCTTGTATGCTAAGGGGTATTTCGTATGGCATGAAGACCATTAATGATCCCGTTAATAATATTATAACCCGGTAAAACGTCCGTATACCATATTTGTCATTGAGAAACCGGATATTAAAGAGTTTGTGTGTACGAAATAATTTTCCGATTGATAGTATTAAATAGCAGAGATATTGCATTATAAATAGTTAAGGTACATATTAATTTCGTTAATATGAAAAATTAAGTGCAATCTTAAAAGTAAAATACTTTGTTAAACAGGATGAAAACCAATTAAGGAAGAGAAGATGATATTACGTTAAGATGGAATACAAAGATAAAACCGGATCTCAAACTTATAATCCATAAGAATCATTTGTAACTCGATAATATGTGATTAACGTATATAACATATACTTGAATAACTAACCTAAAAATTATGAGACCACAACAATTGTATGTAATTTAGTAGTTTAGCAACTAAAATTTGATGGTTACTAAATAATCGTCAAGCAAAATATAGGTTGAGACGATATTTTTCAAAAAAATTGGGACTTATAGAACCGGGAATTCATGAAGAAATTTGAAATTACACTAAAACATACCGGCTCGGTCATCAACAGAGCAAGAGTGGTGAGTCTCCAGACGACGAATTTCATACACATCGACGTTCTTCAGATGTACAGCGTAGACACGCCACTTACAACTCTTGCTATAAAATAGAACAGAGAGACGGTATATTTTTATATCTCGAGGGGAACCAGTTTGAAAATTAGGGTTCATAATAAAGACCCCACCAAGCCAAAAATATACCGACAACATTAAATCTCTTAAAGAAAAACAAATAGATACAAGGTTTACCTTTTGAGGAGAGATTCTTCGAACTCCCGGTATAAACTTTAAGAAACTGGAAAAGTTTTTTTTTTCCTGATGAAAGATGAAGACATGGAGTATTGATTTATAGCAAGATGTATGGTGGAAACCGGTGATATAAACACATATACACAGGAGATGTGAATCCAGCTCATGTTGTAGTCTGACCCTATAACATCATAGCAGTCTTGTTTTAGCCGTCTGATATGACGTGAACTGACACGCAGCCTGTATTTAAATTCAGATTTCACATCTCGTTTCCCTCCATAGCAAACCGGATGTAGATGAAGTTAGTGTTTGACTAATGTTGGTTAACATTAGTCAAATTGGTCGGAACTCCAAAGGAAACGAATCCAAGCACGATTACAGTTAAACCAAACCAAGAAGATATTTTAATGTTCTCATATATTATGCACTCCGATGATTGACACCTGTCTTGGCTTTTGGAATTTGTAAGGGGCACTTGTAGAAAGGTCGGAATAAGAAAAGTGGAACTCTAGCTTCTTCGTTTCCCAATACACAAAGCAAAACAAACACAACTCTCCTAAGAATAGTCAACTAGGTGAGTAAGTCAACGTCTGCATCCTCGTCTTCTTCAAGTGGTATTAAGACACTTGTTCCTGGACCTCTATGTTGGTGTTCAAGACATACAAACGTGACAATGTCGTGGTCAGATGAAAACCCGGGCCGGCGTTTCAACCGTCGTGAGATCCACAGATTTGTCATCTGGGCAGACAAAGAAGAACCATCAAACTGGCAGAAGGTTAGTTTACTGGAGGCAAGAAATCAAATCAGGCGTTACAAACGTGAAACATCGGATTTGCGATCTACTTTAGCGGAAATCAACGCTATGATAGAGTCGTTGCGGTCGTCTACAGAAAGAAACGATGATGTGGAAATACGGCCATGTGAAAATCAAATGTTTGAGATTTGGAATGGGGCAAAGAAAACAATGCGCACCATGTTCATTATCATGTGGGTTCTGATGCTAATTACAACATCAGTGATCATTATCAGTATTTACAAATAAGTTCGTAGATCAGTTCATGAATTTCGATGTTATTACTGAATGTTTAATTATTTCAAATTTCAGACCTTTTGTTGTAGTACTTACGCTGTTGTATGATACCGTTTGATATATATATGAATGTTTTCTTCGAAATACTTAATCCCAACATCCGGTCACACCTTGCTATTGAATGTTCACTGAAAAGATAACCCGTAAAGTCATGAAATATAATTTGAGTTTCTTACGTAGTGTTTCGTAAAAAAAATTAAAGTTACTGTTGCATTTCGTTCTAAACATTAATATCCCTGGTTTTTACTGGCTTGTTCCATAAGTTGTACAGCAAAAAATATTAACATAATTTGCATTTGTACAGACAACAACATGCTGGAAATGATCGGCATATATAGACAAGATGTGACCCATATAGGATGAAGATTTCGTGCAAACGTAGCATAAAAAAATGCTACTAGAGGATGGTTTCGACATTTTATCTTACATGCCATATCCACTTACCTAATTATGAAAAGGTGATAGTCAATCACTTAATAAAAATTTGTTTCATGGTTATACAATTCAATAACTCTAAAAATATACAATTCAATAACTCTAAAAATAGATCTAATTAGTTTAGAAAAATATTAAAAAAAAAACAAAAAAACAAAACCTAAACCAAACTTTAACCTAAACCTATTTACTAACTAAACCTAATAACAAAACCCAAGCCACGATGAGACCACCAGCTCCACCATCGACGAACAAGCCATGGATTAAGTTAACCTTGCAAATATTGGAGAACTTGATTTTGCAGAGGACCGGAAGATTGGACGCTCCTCCTCCTTCGTTGTCTCATCTCATCTCAAAATCAAGATGAATTTTAGTCTCCGCCACCGCAGCCGCATGACCACCACTCTGCTCACGACCACCAAATTTTCCACCGCCTCGTTGCTGCATGACCAACTCTGCTCATGACCACCAGCTTCTCCATCTCCTCAGAGTCACAAAGCCAACGACCACATCTGCCACAATCCACTACTTTTAACAAGAACAAAAATTCAGAATTAAAAGAGAGAGAGGGAGGTGACGGTGGTGGTGAGAGAGGACGGTGGCGAATGGAAGAGATGGCGTTGGTCCAGCATCTTCAGATCCGGGGTCACTGGGCTCGGCTCCACTTTCAGATTCGTGTGTGTGTGTCTGTGGAGATAGAGATGAGGAGAGTGATATAGAGAAAGGAGTCCCGAGAAAGGAGATTTATTTTTCACATGAATCGTATGTCTGTGTTTGAGACAGTGCTAGAGATGAGGAGAAAGATACAGAGGAAGAGATCGATAGAGTTAGAGAAATGAAAAGATAGATTCTTGGACATTGGATTACAAACAATCAATGGTCAGAAATATCAATCCAAATTTTGAAGAATAGACCAATAAAAAAAGAAGGAGGAAGATCACAAAAAAGTGATTGAGCCTTTGGATGAAAATTAATCAAAGGCCCAAAATAAAACTAATAAAAATTAACTTTTTATTTATTTATAATCATTTTTTGTGTGTTATTTATTAGTTAGTGGTTTATTTTTATTTTTGAAATCTATAATGTAAATTTGACATATTGTATATAGTTTGAGATATGTATTAATCCTAATTATATTTTATTTAACATTTAGGGTTTATGGTTAAAATTTTGAAATAGATATATGTTTAAGATTAAATTTTGAAAATATTTAACTTTATAACTTAAATTTAATATTTTGGAGTTTATGTTTAAAAATATTATAGAATTTATTAGCGTATTATAGTCTAACGTATGTGTTTATAGTTTAGAGTTTAAAAACTTGTTTAGGATTTAGGGATGTAAAAGACAATATAAGTTTAAAGTTTGTGTTTATAATTCAGCGTTTAAAAACTTGTTTAGGGTGTAAGGATTCAAAAGACAATATAACGTTTTGATTATATTTGGATATTAATCATAAGTGTTATGAGTTTATAGTAGATTTTTTGAGTATAGGGTTAAATGTTTAGGGTTTTTAGATTTGAGATTAATTTTGGAAAAAATATTTTTTTAGTTTATTTTTAATATATTAGGTTAAATTTAATTTGTTAGTAAACTATTAGAGTTTGAAAATTGTGTTTAGAGTTTAGGAGTATCGATTTTAAGATTTGAGATTCGGTTTTAAAAATATTAATTTTGAGTTTATATTTAAGATTTGATGTTAAAATATTAGAGTTTAAAGTTTTTGGTTAGAGTTTAGGGTTATGTTTAAAATTTTGGTTTTAGGATTTATTGTTTAGAGTTTAAAGTTTAGAATTTTTCGATGGAGATAAAATGGAGTTTAAACTTTTGGATATATGATTAACTTAGGCTTAGTTTTTAAGTTTAGAGTTTAGAATAAATGCTTGAGTATAGGGTTTGAGGGTTAAATATTTGGGGGTATTTATTTCAGATTTGAGATTAATTTTTGAAAATATTAAATTTTGAGTATATTTAAGATTTGAAGTTAAATTGAAGATTTAATGTTAAAGTTTTGGAGTGTTTTTATTTAGAGTTTAGGGTTTTAAGGTTTATGATTCAGGGTTTTTGGAGGCAAATAAAATGGAAGGAGAGGAAAAGTGAAACAAGGATGAGAGGGAAAATCAATTGTTTTCCAGCTTTAATTATGCATAGCGTTTTGAAACTTAAAGTATTATGTATAACATGGTTCGAAAAAGCGTTTTTAGAATTAAATTCGGACTAACCAAATATATCGTTTGCATTTTCACAAACGCTATGTAAAAGTAAGAGGTATGTCAAACATAGTAAAATTGAGAAAAACGCTATACTGTTCTACTATCAATACACAGATTTCTTATTCTAATGTTATGTGTGAACATCTAGATCTATTCATAGGTTGCTAAACTGAATATAGTTGAATGATGTTTGAGGATTGTATGTAATAGTTGTATTGATTAGGGTTATGGTATACGTGGATAATGTATATGTGGCTGATGTATATGAGTTGGATAAAGGCGTAAGGCCTATGTGTGCCAGTGAAACGTGGTGGAAGTACATAAGTCCCGGGTGTTGCATCGTTGCTTGTTGGATCATGTGGAAATCATGTGAGTTGGCATGATTAATCGCCGGAGGGGGCATGCGGTGTGCATGTGTGTGAATTAAGAACATAGTAGCGTGATGTCGTTGAGACAATGTGAAATGTATGAACATGGTGGCAGATCACGTGAAAACCAAAGTCGGTAACGTTATTGCATGAAGGCGTGGAACTCACAAAGTCAACACAATGTTGTGGAGACAACATATGTGGTGAACTTTCCTGCGACAACATGAGGAATGCGAGGACCGAACGAGGTGGTGTGGTCTCATATTGGCACCATCGGGGTTTATCTTCGTTTCTTGTTGATTGATATTTCTTTACTGGATGTTTTAGGTAGATCCTTTGTTATGTTGTGTGGTGAATGTTGGGTAATGTTTTTAGGCCTCACAAAGCTTCCCTCACTGAGCTTTTTTCGAAATGCTCACCCCTCCTCCTTCCTTTTTCCTTTCAGGTTTTGTTCATGTTGGTGGATTTTTGTCAGAGACGTCCTGAGGTCCAAAAGACACATTGTTTTTGTCCTTGTGGCTGGAGGCAAGTGTTTTTGTATCACCGACCATTTCAGCTATGCTGGGTCAAGGTGTCACAATTGCAATGTTCATCATAAAGGATAAACTTCTGCACATAGAATGAAAAGATAAGGTGATAGTGGATCACCTTGTTTTATTCCTCTTTCTGGAACAATGTGACCTTCTGGAGAACCATTCAATCAAGACTGAGTAAGTAACCGAAGATATACAAGTCATTATCCATAGAGAAAATTACTAGAATGTTATAGAAAAGTTAGTATATTACTAGAATAACATACATTTTCTAAAAATTAATAGAATGTTATCAGACTCCTAGTAAATTACAATAAATACCCTTATTTAATTTTGTTACTATTGATATAAATTTTAATTATTAAATCCACATCACTAATTAGGCAATCCACGTCACTAATTTGTTTCATCAATAGTGACACTGAAAAACAACCGTCCTATATCTTCAGTGAATAGAAAAAAAAGTCATATGGTCACTTATTCGTCACAACTTTCGTTAAACCCTAACCGAGTACAAAATCATCTTCGTCACAACTAATACTCTCGTATGGAACTGTTTCCGATATCGTCATCTTCGTTATCATCTTCGTCAACCTCGTTATATCCTAACCGTCTCCGATATCATCTTCGTTGACATCCTCTTCTCCGCAAACTTTTTGACGCAATCGTATCTACAACATCAAATGTTGTGGCTGAGTTTGATTTTATATTGTGACCGAGTTTGATTTACGACGTGGCTGAGTTATAGATTATGTTGAAACTGAGTTATTGTACAGTGTGGTTGAGTTGAGTTTTGTTTACGTTGTGAAAATATAGTTTTCCATTTCGACGGAGTTATAGATTATGTTGCACCTGAGTTATTGATTATGATCCGGCTGAGTTATTGATTATGTTTTGGCTGAGTTATTGATTACTGTGGCCGAGTTATAGATTATGTTGTGGCCGAGTTATAGATTATGTTGTGGCCGAGTTATTAATTATCTTTTGGCTGAGTTATTGATTATATTTTGGCTGAGTTTTGTTTCTATTACGACTACGTTATATGGTGGCTTGGTTATTTATTATGTTGTGGCTGAGTTTTAATTCTTTTGCGGCTGATTTATATATATGTGTTTTAGGATCAGATGGCTATTTCTGAAGATCAAGCACGGGATTATCCTCCACGACTTTACGCTGAAGGGGCTTCTAATCTAGAAAATAAAGAAATTAATCACAGTTTGTAGATGGGAGATTTCCCTAACGTCAGAGAAGCAATAGGACGAGATGTGAGGGATCACATGAGGCAGGATCCTTTTGGAATTATTGTTAAGCTAGCTGAACGCAAAAGCGTGTGGTCTGGTAGGACTGTACACTATCTACTGTGTCGACAGCTTCGAGTATATAAGAAGGAGATTTGGAGTCTA